TCCTAGCCTAGCCCGCTTTCCTATGCCTCTCGAAAAGTCTCCCAACAGCCCAACACCCCCAGCCGAACTCCCCCGAAGTCCTCATCGCACGAAGAACTGTGGCTTCCAGCAATTAGCTGGAAGCCTTCCTCGTGACTCCCGATTTCGGGAGTCCTGTCAGTCTGATTTCAATACTGGGGGGTAATTGCGGGGCAACAGAACCACCCTGCAGTCAACATGCGCATTGCCGAAACCAACCTACGAGGCGACTGCAGGGTGTAAGTTGCGCATCGCATGTCAGTTGGAGCGACTAGTTCGAGTTTGTTACCATCGGAGCCGAAAACGAGACCATCGCACATGCGAGGTATGAGCAGTTGCGTTGTTACCACGCGTAACATTTCGGGTTACCCTGTATTTATTGAAAAGCTATAAATCAAACAGTAATCTAATTACATGGAAATACAGGCTATTAATTAAGATAATTACACTACCGGATAAAACCAGAAATAAGACACGGTAGATATATTCATGTTAAACATTACAGCACTCAGTTCAGCCACGGTATGGAGCGTTTCGTTGGCAATTTAATATATTAAAGCTGACAATACATGGCAACATCATATATGCCTACTGCCACATCGCTAAACAAACCAGGGAACGCTAGCCTAGCACGCTGCAGCTAGTTCTATTCTGAAGGACTCCACCACATGTGCTGTAACGCATCTGCTTCCTTGCTGAAACTCCCGCACAATAGATTATTAGCTCTAAACACCAAAGAAAGAGTCAGGCAGAAAACGCGACACCAACCACAGCTACTTACCGTTGACGAAAGGACGGTAAAGCACTTGTAGTAATTATGCCATGCTCCTTAAACCTGCAAAAAAAAAATCGGAATACCATTGCTCATAAGCGTAGGGGCAAGAACTCCCAACACTGACGAAACTCACCTGAAATGCTGAACCACGCATATTCGCTTCAGAGGTCTTCACCGTCTTCGCCCAAGCTTCATTGATTTTGCCCAGGCAAAACCACACTTCGCGACTCGACAGCACCTCGCAGATAGCACCACTCAGCTTCATGATAAAATACTTCACGATCTGCAAGTGCGAGTAGCTAACAGTATAAGACGTGGCAAGGACATTGTCGAGAGTAAGTGAACAGGAGAATGAAAGGTGGGGCCTAGGCTTAGTAGCCTAGGCCCTAACTAGGTATCGAGCGGGTTTTCCTTAGGAGCGATGTCGAGTGAGTTGTGAGAGAGAAATTGGAGAATGTGTTTTCACTATAGCATTCGAAGTACATATAGCAAAGGAACACATGAAGAGGTGCACCACCTACAAATTTAATAACTACACTACAGCTAGAACTATATGCAGTTATAATAAATATAATTCTGACATCCCCCCGTAACTGCATGCAGGAATAGCTAAGTGTCAAGCACAACCTGCAGAGGTACACCAACGAGCAATAAAACAAGCAACAGCAGGTACTGCAGGCGGGCTAACTTTGAAAGGTTACCCCCTCCATCTCCTCACCCTCCTCCTTCCCCTCCCCCACACTGCTGCAGAAGCAGCAGAGAAGGGGGGAAGAGAGGAGAGGTGGAGGGACGGCTGCTTGTTGCCTCACACCCGCCACCCGGGTACCACTCCCCCTGCTCACCCACATCCTCACACCCTCCCCCCCCAGCGGCAGCTGCAGCGGTGGGACTGAAAGAAGGAGGAGGGGAAGGGAGAGAGTTGACCCCACGCTCCAACACCCTCCACCCCCATACCCTCCTCCCCACGGCTGCAGGGAGACAAGAGAAAGGGGGGGGTGGGAAGGAAGAAAGCCGCAGAGCGGCGAAGAGGCGTCGGTGCAGATGGGTCAGGGGCGGCAGCAGGGAGTGCAGGGGCGGAGAGGCCCGTCGCGGGCCAGTGCCACGGGGCGCACGACGGGTAGGATAAAAGGGCCCGATCGTGTGCCTCGGGGCGCACGACGAGCAGGGCACCATCGTGTGCCTTGGGGCACACGATGGGCAGATAAAGGGCACCGTCGCGTGCCACGGGGCGCGCGACGGGCAGGGTAGGAGTCACACGCCCGTGGGCGGGACAAGGTAAAGAATAAAATCGTCACGCGCCCTAGGCGCGCGACCGTAAAATTTTAGCAGCGGAAGTAAAGCGGGCCCACAGGCCAGGACGAAATCAGCTCTGATACCATGTCGAGAGTAAGTGAACAGGAGAATGAAAGGTGGGGCCTAGGCTTAGTAGCCTAGGCCCTAACTAGGTATCGAGCGGGTTTTCCTTAGGAGCGATGTCGAGTGAGTTGTGAGAGAGAAATTGGAGAATGTGTTTTCACTATAGCATTCGAAGTACATATAGCAAAGGAACACATGAAGAGGTGCACCACCTACAAATTTAATAACTACACTACAGCTAGAACTACATGCAGTTATAATAAATATAATTCTGACAGACATAAACAGGGTCAGTGAGAGAACCAAGTAATGGGGAAGCATATCTATTATTGAAGGACATGTTAAAGCTTGACATAGCAAAACGGAAAAAAGATATCGACGAAGAGCACATGTAGGGACAAACACAGAAATCCCTCACCGACATTCACGGCGGCGTCATGCTCAACACCAGGTTGCAGTTGTTTGTCATGAAGGGGGGTGTGGGAACCATCGTGCACCAAGTCCTCGTTGAAAAAAAGGCAACACAAAAATGAAACACTAGTTCAAAATGAGACTGATATTGCTGGCTCTGTTCGTAACCAGCTCAGTTCAGACAAGATGTGAGGTGAGGACCTTGACAGTTGGGAAACTGGTTCCTCGTAAAAAACGCTGCCCAGATAAAACATGTCAGCAACTGCGGACTAATCACGAATAGCCAGGTACTAGTAGATGTTGCTTTTGTTGACCTTGGGCAGAAAAAATCACGCGACAAGGCAGCATTTGCAGGTGAGAAGGGAATGTTCGGAAGAATCTGGCTGCGAATCAGATACCTCGAGCGAAGCCATGCTGGGTGCTGAAGTACAGAGGCAGGCTGTACAAGGAGCAGATTTCCGGCAAAATGCACACCCCCAATCTATCGGCGCGATCTGGGATGAAGCGAGTATGTGCCCCCCGATGCACACATCAGCACTGTAATCGACGGTCAGCGTGGAGGGATGAGGTGGTGGTTGGAAATGGATGTACGTAGTCAGTTCGATGTTCCACCTTCTGTGTGTCTGTCAATATTTCACGCGTCTCGACATCGAGGTTGGTCCACTCGATGATGAGTGGTGATTGGTCTAAATTCTGCCATCTTGTAAATCTTCGCTGACACAGCAAAGCATTCAGGAAGGAGGTCGCCTTGTTGGGAGATCGTGATATAAACCGGTTAAGAGAGATATCTGGAGTAAAATATAAAAAGAAAATGATATAAATATAAAATACGATATACCTGTCTGTGATATAAATCAATACATATCGAACTTGCTAAATACAAAACAACCCCCACTAACCCAGTCATATGCGCTGCTCACAAAGTGATATCCAGCTCCAGCACTCAGTCATAATCAAGCTCTCTCTCACATGAGAACACCTGAGGTTTTGTTACGAGTGCAATTTGAGTGATTGGGCAAGAATTGCACTACCGAAACAGAGTACAATGAGTGAACGGATGAGCGAAGAATATATAGCGAAACTACAGTGGTAATGGTAATGGACTGTGGTTCCTTATGTGGAGGGCCCTCAGAAGCGTTCCCACGAGAGAACCTGCTGTATACCATGTGAAGAATGAGGAATGAATGAACTAGCAAGCAGGTGGGTACAAGTAGGAAAACCTAAAAGTGTTGTACCCCATATAGTCTACCCCACTACAGCCTACACATAGTATAGCATATAAGTTTGCCATACACGACTGTGTGGGACATATTTCATTGTCGTGTAAAAATCACCAAAGAACATCGTAAAAATATTAGAGATTCATTGGGTTTACAATGTTGAAGCAATGAGTTACCAGTATGTGAAGTCATTTTTAAGTAAGTGTTTTACAGAATTGTATTGGCTACTTGCATATTTTAGCTTTACATTACTAGTCTAATCACACAATGTAGCAGTACAGTATGATACGAACCACTCCTGGACAAACGTGAAGTGTTTTTGCCAGATATCCAGAATTTTTGGAAACCCTTGGAACCACGCTGGATCTAGATTTTTTCAGCACATTGAATGCCTGTGTTACGGGCTGTTTGCCCGAAACCATTATCGTGACAACTCCAACCAGAATTTTGGTAACTGCGCGCGATCAGAATCAACTCGGAGTCGGCGGGCAATTAGAAAACATTCCCGCCAGCAAATTGCGGGAACCTGATGTCGCCGAACTGTCTGCCAGCAAATTCCCGTCCAACACCCCTAGAGTTGCGATGCTTGTCGCAGCCCAACACCCACCCCCCCTGCCCTTAGCATGCCGCGAGCTGCCCAACAACCTTCCACATTTAGGTTGTGTCGCCCTGAATCGATATACAGTAATACACTATGCAATTTGAAAAAAAACAGACAGCACTATCCATCACTATAATCAAGTGGCGGAAAACCTCTCATGAAGTGTGTTTGTTGTGTTTTTGCAGATGATTTGAAGATGTAGGGGTCGGTATTTTTTTAGAAGAAAGTATCGAAATTTTTCCAGATGGTATGTCAGATGCTTTGCAGATGATCGGAGTGTTTTTAAATAGTTTGGAAATGGTTGTGAGGAACTTCTCATTTTGTTTGGGATAACTTGTTTAAATCATGTTATGTGCTTCAATTTTAGACTTGTATAAGGTTTGCTATTTACTTTTATATGCATATAATAATCTTGGAAAGGGTTTATGGGGTATTATAAATAAACATAATCGGAGTTTGAAAAACCCAGTTGGTAGTTTCTTCAGCACTTTCCATAAATACACCGTAAGAGGGAAGGCATGTACGTGTAAATCATAATATTAGCTTGAAAAGATTTACGACACATTAGATGCCTACTTATTCTCTGGTTCTTAGCTACTCTACTAATCATCCTCGGTTAATGCACCTGCACTACTACTACCCACTATCAACCCTAGGTCCGTACTCTGCTTCATCCTCCCTGCTGTGCTACTCCCTGTTACATCCTCCCTGCTGTGCTACTCCCCGCTGCATCCTCCCTGCTGTGCTACTCCCCACTACATCCTCCCTGCTGTGCTACTCCCCGCTACATCCTCCCTGCTGTGCTACTCCCCACTACATTCTCCCTGCTGTGCTACTCCCCGCTGCATCCTCCCTGCTGTGCTACTCCCCGCTGCATCCTCCCTGCTGTGCTATTATTTCTTAACCCCGCCCCCTTGATGTCAATCCTTGCTTCCCCCTCATGTTGTTACTAGTGTGCCCCCCTCCCTGCTGTTACTCCTGCGCACCTCTCCTTGCTGATACTCCTCTCCTCCCTTCCTGGTCGTGGTTCCTCTCCTCCCTTCCCTGCTGTGGTTCCCCTGCTCCCCTCCCTACTGTGACTCCTCTCCTCCCTTCCCTGCTGTGGTTCCCCTGCTCCCCTCCCTGCTGTGGTTCCTCTCCTCCCTTCCCTGCTGTGGTTACCCTGCTCCCCTCCCTGCTGTGGTTCCTCTCCTCCCTTCCCTGCTGCGGCTCCTCTGCTCCCCTCCTTGCTGTGGTTCCTCTCCTCCCTTTCCAGCTGTGGTTCCCATGCTCCCCTCCCTGCTATGGTTCCTCTCCTCCCTTCCCTGCTGTGGTTCCCCTGCTCCTCTCCCTGCTGTGGTTCCTCTCCTCCCTTCCCTGCTGTGGTTCCCCTGCTCCTCTCCCTGCTGTGGTTCCTCTCCTCCCTTCCCTGCTGTGGTTCACCTGCTCCCTTCCCTGCTTTGGTTCCTCTCCTCCCTTCCCTGCTATGGTTCCCCTGATCCTCTCCTTGCTGTGGTTCCTCTCCTCCCCTCCCTGCTGTGGCTCCCCTGTCCCCCCATTCCCTCTTACTCCAAGCTCGGAGCACCGCAATTCCACCATTCATCTCCTCTAGACGTGCACTGACGCCACCCTCCTTGTCGGATTGCGGGGTTGTGGTCTCGGCCTATACTCCTCGAACCCCGACTCATGGACGAACAAGCCAAAATTCCCCCACTTAAACCCCTTCATCCGTGGGTCGTAGACAGGGTTCACGTGGCTGAAATGATCCGTCACCGCCTGCTTCACCGCCCTGCGGATGCTTGCCACCCACCGCGTGTTCTTTCGGTGGGAGTTTGTGAGGTTCATCGTCGACTTCTTGACCTTCGACAAGCCGTAGTCAATCTGCATTGTCAAAATAGGGGAGCATGGACAGATTCAAGCGTGATAAGTGTGAGAGGTCGGAATCATGTGGGGCAAGCACAACATCCAGTGAAGTATGCCATGGTGGTAGAGTGTGAGCATGAAAGGTGATAGAGGAGTGGGGCAGCTTCTGAAAGGAAGAGGAAACCAAAGAGTGTTCAGAAACACGGGAGGGGAAGGATACTGATGGGTACTGCATGGACGTGAGGGGATTGGTGAAAAATATTAACAACGTAAGCCCGTGAGTGAAATCGTGAACCCAGAGTGGGCGCAACTCCCCTGGGCAGGTGGAAACCAAGGTTTCAAGAAGCACCTGAGAGGGAGGTGGAAACACGGGGGTTTAAGGTTTACACGGGATGGCACGGGTTTACCAAGGAGAAAAGTGTGGGATGAGAAACAAGTAAAAGGACCCTCACAAGCCACTCACCACCAAGATAGTCCAGGCAATATGATACGCCTTCAAGCATATGTCATTCCCCACGGCAAATTCACCGAAGGCGTCCATTGCTGCGTTGAAGAAGATCTCGTTGCCGAACGGGAGATCAGTAACCTCAGCATTTCCCCATGTGCTCAGCTGGGCGTCGGCACCTGCAACACAGTCGAACGAAGGTGGTTCAATGGGTGGGGTGTGAAAAGGGAAGAACGTGGATGAGCTGGCGAATCACAGGTTTCTACAACGGTCCATGTAAAGGAAACGCCAAGCTATGGAGTACAGATATGGGGTGTTGCAAGAAACGGGTGCTAGGGCTGAGATGGTGAAACAAAGTGGAGGGGGGGAGGGTGGGGGAAAAGGTCAGGCAGGTGTTTACTCACTCGGGCCATACTCCCCCCAGAGATCCTCCTTGAGCTCAGTGTCAATGTGGATTTCCGCTGCCCGCAAGCCACTCATAGGAACCCCCAACCCCTCGAGCACAGTCCGTTTGACGTAAAACCCGCGCTCGTTCTTCCACTGCGTATACACGCGCTTGAATGCATCCCTCCGTGTTTTATCCGCCATGGCCTCCTTCAGCAATATCAATGGAACCACATAATGCTCAGAAATGACTTCCTGCAAAACAATAATCCGCTTCTCAAAGCTTGGGTAGAACGTGACAAGATGGTCCTCAGCTTCCATACACATGCGCTTCCTTGCTTCTTCCATGTACAGCTGTTTAAAATGAGAATGTAGGGTAAACCAAAGAATGGGAATGTGGGGTATTGGGAATGAGTATATGTCACTGCAGAGAATGAGACCAGAGGCAGGGATGAGAATGAATCACTGCAGAGAAGGAAACCAGAGAGTGGGAATGTGAATGAGTCACTGCAGGTAATGAGACCAGAGGGTGGGATGAGAATGAATCACTGCAGCGAAGGAAACCAGAGAGTGGGAATGGGAATGAGTCACTGCAGAGAATGAGACCAGAGGGTGGGATGAGAATGAATCACTGCAGAGAAGGAAACCAGAGAGTGGGAATGTGAATGAGTCACTGCAGAGAATGAGACCAGAGGGTGGGATGAGAATGAATCAGTGCAGAGAAGGAAACCAGAGAGTGGGAATGTGAATGAGTCACTGCAGAGAAGGAAACCAGAGAGTGCGAATGTGAATGAGTCACTGCAGAGAATGAGACCAGAGGGTGGGATGAGAATGAATCACTGCAGAGAAGGAAACCAGAGAGTGCGAATGTGAATGAGTCACTGCAGGTAATGAGACCAGAGGGTGGGATGAGAATGAATCACTGCAGAGAAGAAAACCAGAGAGTGCGAATGTGAATGAGTCACTGCAGAGAATGAGACCAGAGGGTGGGATGAGAATGAATCACTGCAGAGAAGGAAACCAGAGAGTGGGAATGGGAATGAGTCACTGCAGAGAATGAGACCAGAGGGTGGGATGAGAATGAATCACTGCAGAGAAGGAAACCAGAGAGTGCGAATGTGAATGAGTCACTGCAGGTAATGAGACCAGAGGGTGGGATGAGAATGAATCACTGCAGAGAAGAAAACCAGAGAGTGCGAATGTGAATGAGTCACTGCAGAGAATGAGACCAGAGGGTGGGATGAGAATGAATCACTGCAGAGAAGGAAACCAGAGAGTGGGAATGGGAATGAGTCACTGCAGAGAATGAGACCAGAGGGTGGGATGAGAATGAATCACTGCAGAGAAGGAAACCAGAGAGTGGGAATGTGAATGAGTCACTGCAGAGAATGAGACCAGAGGGTGGGATGAGAATGAATCACTGCAGAGAAGGAAACCAGAGAGTGGGAATGTGAATGAATCACCGAAGAGAAGGAAACCAGAGAGTGGGAATGTGAATGAGTCACTGCAGAGAATGAGATCAGAGGGTGGGATGAGAATGAATCACTGCAGAGAAGGAAACCAGAGAGTGCGAATGTGAATGAGTCACTGCAGGTAATGAGACCAGAGGGTGGGATGAGAATGAATCACTGCAGCGAAGGAAACCAGAGAGTGGGAATGGGAATGAGTCACTGCAGAGAATGAGACCAGAGGGTGGGATGAGAATGAATCACTGCAGAGAAGGAAACCAGAGAGTGGGAATGTGAATGAGTCACTGCAGAGAATGAGACCAGAGGGTGGGATGAGAATGAATCACTGCAGAGAAGGAAACCAGAGAGTGGGAATGTGAATGAATCACCGCAGAGAAGGAAACCAGAGAGTGGGAATGTGAATGAGTCACTGCAGAGAATGAGATCAGAGGGTGGGATGAGAATGAATCACTGCAGAGAAGGAAACCAGAGAGTGCGAATGTGAATGAGTCACTGCAGGTAATGAGACCAGAGGGTGGGATGAGAATGAATCACTGCAGCGAAGGAAACCAGAGAGTGGGAATGTGAATGAGTCACTGCAGAGAATGAGACCAGAGGGTGGGATGAGAATGAATCACTGCAGAGAACGAAACCAGAGAGTGGGGATGTGAATGAGTCATTGCAGAGAAGGAAACCAGAGAGTGGGAATGTGAATGAGTCACTGCAGAGAATGAGACCAGAGGATGGGATGAGAATGAATCACTGCAGAGAAGGAAACCAGAGAGTGGGAATGTGAATGGGTCATTGCAGAGAAGGAAACCAGAGAGTGGGAATGTGAATGAGTAACTGCAGAGAATGAGACCAGAGGGTGGGATGAGAATGAATCACTGCAGAGAAGGAAACCAGAGAGTGCAAATGTGAATGAGTCACTGCAGAGAATGAGACCAGAGGGTGGGGATGAGAATGAATCACTGCAGAGAAGGAAACCAGAGAGTGGGAATGTGAATGAGTCACTGCAGAGAATGAGACCAGAGGGTGGGATGTGAATGCGTCACTGCAGAGAAGGAAACCAGAGAGTGGGAATGTGAATGAGTCACTGCAGAGAATGAGACCAGAGGGTGGGATGAGAATGAATCACTGCAGAGAAGGAAACAAGAGAGTGGGAATGTGAATGAGTCACTGCAGAGAATGAGACCAGAGGGTGGGATGAGAATGAACCACTACTTGCTGGCCCGGCCGTCACTGGGAGCACTGAACAGTGCCCCACTCCACGGCGCCTTCCTGGCAGCCCCCACCAGAAATGGGGCCGGGGGGAGGAAAGGGGCTAAGGGGGAAGGAGACGGGGTGGGGAAAAGGAGAAGGGCGGGAAGAAGAAGAGGGGAAAAGGGGAAGGAGAGCGGGGGGGGGGGAGGAGGGGAGAAGAGGAAACGGAGAGAGAGGGGGCGGCGGGAAAAAGAGTGGGCTTGGGAAAAGAAAGGGGGCGAGACAAAAGCTTGCGTTATTGTGATTTGAACAGCTCAAAAGACAAACTAGAGGAGAGGGAGGGAGGGAGGGAGGAAGGCGGGAGGGAGAAAGGAGGGAGGTAGGGAGAAAAGGAGGGAGGGGGAGAGGGAGGGAGGGGAGAGAAACCTACCCTCAGCTTCTGCAGCTTATGGAAAAAACATGCATGTGGTTACTCGAGCAAAATGCATGTGGTTGCTTCGCAGGAGTGTCAAAATTCCTGGTAAAGTGTGAAGCACGTGGTCAAGCCGGGTAAAAAAAAAATGCATGTGGTCAAAATGCATGTAACGAAGCACGAGTGTTGAGGATACAGATGGCGAATAAGAAGAAGGCTGGTTGGGATGGATTGCAGGGCATGAGTGAATGTCTGACCGGATGTAAGAAGCGAGGCCGAGCAGCATCTCCAGTGTGACCTCCTCGTAGTGCACCTTTGCTGCCATGCAGGGTCCCTGGGGGAACGGGGAGGGGCAAGGCAAGGGAAGGGGAATGCAAGGGAGGATGAAATTGGCAGTCGGGAGAAATAGAATGGGTGGAACGAGGGAGATGATGGGAGGGAGGCAAGAGCACATATGCGGCGGCTTATGGCAAAAAAGGAAGACGTTTGATTGATCTTATGCAACACAAAAAGACACATACATATGAAGAATAAGAAGGGAGGAAAGCGGGCTGAGATGGAATGGATTGGCATGTGTGACGGACCATAGGTAAGCAGCGAGGGCGAACAGCATCTCCTGCGTGAAACCCGGCTGCCATGCAGGGCAGCCTGCACTGCCCTCCTGCAGTGACTTGATTGCAAGGAGATCGGTCCGATAGGTTCGAGGCGGTACATGTAGCTGTCAAATTATAATCTTGTGTAGGCTGTAGTGGGGTAGCCTATATGGGGTACACATTTCTAGGGTTGCATATTTGTACCACATTCCATTCCTTAGTGCACTCATTCTCGTTTCAGTTTTCTCATGGTATCGAGCAGGT